AATGTGTCTTGGTTTAAGGTTTTCTTAATTTATTATTAAATTTTATAGTCTCATTCTTATTATCTTACTGCTCATTCCCCACTTCCCAGTTTTTCTCGGCAGTGTTAAAGTCTATTTTATGGATGGTCTTATTAATAAGAAGCTCCAAAATTCTGAAACCAAAGTAAAATATCCGACTTTAGAGTACTGAATTGCTGATGGGAAGACCCTGTGGTTGTCAGCTAGAAGTGTGAGAGTGTCTTTGCCACAAACATGTTTTGAGAATACATATCTTTGTGACACTGAAGTCCACCAAAAGCATCGTTGAAGATGCTCCCACAACAGTATGGAGCACAAAGCACATTAGAATTTCACAAAGCTGCAAGCTCAGCGGTTTCTTCATTTCATGAGATTTCCAGTGGTTCCCATGAGGGTTGATTTGTAAAGTGATAACCGACGGTGTTCAGGGGCAGAGTCTGGGTTTTAGAATTAGTTCTTTATGATTGATGCTGAATAAGTTCAGCAGTTGTTAAGCTCAGAGAAATTACTAATTTTCAGGTGTTTGGACAAGGAAAATGCCAGGTAATTTCCTGTTTGAAACTTTCACAGCACACAAGTTTTATAAAATTGTTTCGGGCAATCAGCCATGTCAGTGTTGAGTTTAAAACCAACATTTCAGAGACCAGCTCTTTCTCTTAAACGTTGGTTTTTAACTCAGCATTGGCACGGTTGATCATCAAAGAGAATTTTATAACACCCTTTTCCCCCATTACATTCAATTTCTGACCAGGCATGAGAATTTTAATAAAACAAGTTAAACTAAATCGTGTGTTTATTACAACTACCTGATGTCAAAATGGGCACATAGGCCCACTTTTTTTATATATAAACTGTCTTCTTCTAAATTTATGCCGTGGTAGCTCAGCCATAAAGTGACGGGCTGCTTGAGATTTCAGGTTCTCGTGGTGACGAATATGAAGATGCTGTCTTCTGTGATGTTGCACTGTATAGTCCCCTGATGATGGTGGCAGTAAGCTTCTCTGAAACATCAGTCAGTATCTACCAGACTACATGGCACAACATCCCAGAAGGCAACCACCTTCACTGGCTACAGATTACACAGCCAGATTTCAAATCCCAGTAAGGATGTTAGGATACTCTGTTCACCATATCTGGAATGGTTCTGGGGCCCACTGAAACCCTGTTCAGAGGGTATCATATTTTCATTCCATGTGGATAAAGTGGCAAGACCATAAAGCTGAACTCTCATAACTGCGTAGATCCAGTGTTTGGTATTGCTCAGTCCCCGTTTATGTGGCATAATGTGAATTAAAAGTAAGCATTTGCCATTGTACAGTTTTCTATTTCTGATGTAGAAGTAGTCGTTGGATGTAATAGTGCCACAGCAAATGCAACAGGAAATTTTGTTTGTGGCATAAGAAATGATTTCAAGTTCCCAGGCTTGAATCTATGTTTGGAAAAGTCTCAAACAATAATTATACTTAACTTTTCTTCACATATTAGGGCAGTGAAATCCCAATTTATTGTTTCTCTTGCAGGCATTGGATTTGAAGACTAAAGCAAGGAAAACTTTGAACTGGAGGGAACTTAATACTGAAGTAGTGGGGATCAGCCTACAGAACAGTGGGGGAAAACACATGCTTCTCTCTATAAAGTTGTAGATATTAAGTGTGGAGTATGTCAGGTGAAGGGAAAATGTGAGAGGTTTGGCTTGGGCCAAGAAAATTATCTTGTCTGATTTGATTTTGAATTTGAACTCATTTTAGGGTCTAATGGTAGGCTGCTGTGAACATGATAATGCACCTTCAGGTTCCACAAAAATTACCTGTTTGGAATTATTTAATAAGCATCAGCTTCTCAAGGTGGATTCTTTGTCATGGATTTGACGTCGTGCAACAGGTCATGTTTCCTCAGCTTACAATGTGCATAGCAGTCTGGTGGCACAGGAACTGTATTTGTACCCAGTAGTTTTCTATTTTATTTTGTAATACAATGCACACAAACTTGTCATTTGTGAAGAGAAACATTTAAAAATTATTTTTTCTTTCAGGTTATGATATGTCACCGTTTATTAGACGATATGCCAAATACTTGAATGAGAAAGCATTATCTTACAGGACTGTGGCTTTTGACTTTTGCAAAGTTAAAAGGGGGTAAGGAAATTATTTGTTACTTAAGAATTACAATTAGTAATAAATAGAAAATAGTACCAAATATCTCAAAAAATAATTAAATTGTGATAGGAGCGAGCAATGCTTTTGGCTGCATGTAGTAAATGGTCATGGTTGAACACAGGAACCATAATCTAGAGCTACGTGACTTGCAACTGCTGTATTAGTGACAATGCCATATTTATCAAGAGTGATAACAGCAGGTATTGGATATTATATAATGTGATATAAAGTGCTGAATATACCAGGAGCAAAATGGCGCACATATATTCAAAAACAGGAAAGGCCTGATATTGCAAGTACAGAATGTCCTTACATACTATATTTACCCAAAATGTAGTTACTGGCCATACTGAAAACAAAATTTATTTATTCACTATGTCTACATTTGTTTGAAATTTGGGGTGGTGTTTTCTTCATCACATTATTGTTTTGAGATATGCTGGATGTTTTTACTTCTAATTTATTTTGAAGGTTAGAACCTGTTGGCCATCATGATCTGGTGTCATTTGTTAAAATGGCCTCTCCTATCTATGGGAAGGAGGTAGTGTTCATATTGCCTTCTAATATGAATATTGGATGTTTTTAAATTTCCGATCTGAGGAGTTGTTGTTGTTGCTTCTTGGCTCTACAACACAGTTGTCAGTTTTCGCCACCTCCTTTACGGAGGTTTCTTGGCCTTTGAAGTGTGCATGTATGAGTAGTGAGTGACCATCCCACTGACTCTTGCACAATTTATACTCTATCCTGATTTGACTGCCAGAGCCATCTAGCAATGAATCAGGAGACTTGGGTGAGAAATGGTCACTGAATTTTGCTTACAAAACATCTTGCTCATGCCCGTAAGGTTCTTTTACGTGCCTTAAATCTAAGACGTGGGATCGCCGGCTTTACTTCCCCTCCGAAGGAAGTTGTGCTACGGATTTTTATCACCCTAAAAAGTCCTTTTACCTCAGCCGGGTTTGAACCTCCGAACCTTGGGTTCAGTGGCAAGTACGCTAACCACTAGTCCACGATCTGTGGAGTAGTCATTTATATATAAACACTCAGTTTTTCCATAATTTGCTATTAAATTGTTGCTATTCAAAAGTTTCTCTGTTGTTTAATTCCACATTGATAATGTTCTTCTCATTGTAGTTCTGGATCTTGTTCATATCATGATGTTTACCAGAACAACATATTATCCTCTATCCCTTCATTAATTTTTGTGGGATGCTCATTGTTAGGGCACATGTTTATTCAAGTTTACAGGTAAACTGATTTTAGACTTTTTACATACGCAGTGAGGTACACAAATTCATTAGGGGATTACACACAATGAAACAGTTTTTTGATTCCAAGATTACAGGCATTAAGTTTGTTCTGGTCGGACTTCTCTGCTTGCTTCAAGGTATTGACTGCATTTTTACACTACAAGTTAACATACAGAATGTATTTTTATTTTAGAAAGGAAGTTGGAACACTGAGGACAATGAATGCAGAGAAACTGCTTAAGACACTACCAGTATTACAGAGTCAGCTGGATGCACTCCTAGAATTTGACTGTACGGCCAACGATCTGATAAATGGAGTCATTAACATGGCATTCATGTTGTTGTTTCGGGACCTTATTAGGCTTTTCGCTGGTTATAATGATGGCATCATCAATTTGCTAGGTAAGACTAGTTGCTCCAGTAACAGATGATATATTTCAGCACTTCCCTAAAACAGAAATCTTATAAATTATGTATTTAAAAGTGAATATTGCTTGTTACTTCAGAAACTTAATGCATTTGATTTGAACAGTAGTCATTTAATTTGTATTAAGTGGTTCAGAGAAGTTATATATTGTTCTTTGTAGAAAAATACTTCGACATGAACAAGAAGCAGTGTCGAGATGCCCTGGATCTATACAAGAAATTCCTAATTCGAATGGACAGAGTAGCAGAATTCTTGAAAGTCGCAGAGGTATGTCTTCATAAAGTAACAGTGTATTTGCTTGCTTGTTTTCTTCTTCTTCTTCTTCTTCTTCTGAGGTTGAACATTTAAAAAAATAACATTTGTGGAAAGAATTGCATGCCTTTAATATATTAATTGCTGCTTTAAGTAAGTGGGTTACTGATTCCTGGAGTCAATGATTTTTTTTTTTGTGAAATATAATACACCAAATAGTTACACTATTTCAGTTTTCTCCAAAAGGACCCAAAATATGACTCATGACTTACATGTCAGATGACAATGAATGTTGTAAGTTAACTTTTATATTTTGCATTTAATTTTCTTATTGTCAATTCATCATCTATTGTCGTCATAATAATCATCTAGACATTTTAGCTTTTGACTTTTGGAAGTCCATTTCCATCCCATTTTCAGTAAATATTTTAATCTGGTAGTGTCAGTCTGAATTTTGTCTCTCATAGTTGTAATATTGTGGTGAATAAAAAAGCTGGCTTTGTTCTGACACCAGTAAAGTGCCACGTCAGAGATTGAAGTCCAGAACAGTATGGTATAGCTAGCGTTTTTAATGTTGCCTAGTATTCAAGAGCTATGCCACGGTGGTCTAGCGGTCAGAACGCTGGCCTTGTAATCCTGGGGTCCCGGGTTCAATTCCCGGTGGTGCCCGAATTTATAACTTGTGTTGGGCAAGGCCATGGTTTAGGTAACACGGAGTTTTCCTCCGTGGTCTTCCCCGGTTTCTCTGTGGCATTCCAACAATTACTCCACTCACACACAGAAGAAGGCAATGGCAAACCACTTCTGGATCATCTGCCAAGAACGTATATATGTATGAGCAGGTCCCTGACAACCTGAAGAGGATGGGAGGATCCTGTTCATAATATATGGACCTGTCATCAGACAGAACACTACAAATAAAAAAAATAAAGTATTCAAGAAAGAACATGTTTTGGAAACTGGATTATGAGGAACATATTTCTTCTTGGGCTACCTGCTATGTCATGTGGTTGATAAGTGAAAGAACCAGCATTTCGAGAACCATCTTTATCCTTGTCCTCAGGTTATCACCTGACATGGCCCATGGCTTGAGAAGAATGTAATATACAAAAAAAATATTCATATCCGGAAGTACTGTCTGTTAAATTATCAATGTAACAAGGTGCTACTACTCTGTACTTATGATTCCAGTACTTTTGTATTAAATCTCTCAAAACATGCCCTTTCAAACTCTGAGGAAGCATTTGTTAGGAAGAGCCTCACTTTCTAACCTTGGGATGTAAATGGAAGGTCTATGATGGAAAAGTCAAAGTTATCAGTCCCTAATTCAACTAGAAATAAGTTTAAAGCCGCAAGATCTGTGAAACTCAAAGATATTAGAACACTGCAGGCAGATAAAAGCAATTTTCACCAAAGTGTTGGATTAATTTGAGTACAACAATAACTTGGTCACTCCTTTGAGACCAGTAGTGAGCTCTATAAGTTCCTGTGCTGAGTTACTTCATGAGATAAAGCGTCCCTCAGTTGGTAAGACAGAACTATTCCTAAAGAATTCAGAACACTTGAAGTCTGTTAAACATTTAGGTGTGGCATTTAAATTCTGGGGTCTACATGCATGTATGGATTTAATTGAAATTTAAACCATCTCAGAGTCCTGCATGTTACAAAATGTAGTATATATATTGCATTTTTAATCTAAAAACTCTGAATAATACAGTGCTGGAGCCATGCATAAATAACCAGGTAAATCAAGCAGAGTTACACAGAATTATAAATGAAAAGTTCATTAAAAAAATCCCTTCTCTAACTTACATCATCTGGAAAAGTCCAGACCAATCCAACATTCTTATGATGAATGTCATCAGATAGGCTCACATGAGGCCAGAATTTTTCAGATTGAAACAAACAGCAAATATAGGAAATGCAGTAATCCATCCCACATTGTACATTTGACTAGTCTGAGTCAGCATAGTATAGATTCTGCTCATCATAGGTCACGTTGTATGAAAGCCCAGTATGCCATGGTAGTTTAGTTATACTTACCTCCGTAATTTTTGTAGGTGGGTCCCATTTGCTTCCATAGAGGAAGCTACTGGTTGGTAGATATTTTATAATTGTATCAGTTCTTGTGGTGGACTAATTTTTTGTCATCTTTTGTGTCATAGTTTTTGGTCCTTATGGGTATTTCCACCATTTTAATGTAAATTTTCATATTATTGCCCTGACATTGATAACTTGACTGACTATACTTGTACAGTGATTGAGGTTAGTTATTTCTAATGCACCGATCTGGGTAGGTATTCTCCGCTATCATGTAAGGGTGGAAACAGATCCACTTTGCAGAATGTTGTGTTCTTTTTGGAATGCTATAGACCATGGAAAAAGTCCAGATATTCAGTCACTTATTTTAATACACCATCATCAAAACCCCCTTAAATTGATTAGTGTGGTGTATACTTATCAAAATATAATCAAACAATGTATGACTGTGCATTGTGCTATCTCTTCACTGATTGGCATTGTCAGTAATGAAATTAAATGAAGACTAATGAGTAATGTAAAATTGGAAATAATGCCTTTGGAAACTGTGCTTGAAACTTGAGAATATCTTGCCAGTGTTGTATTAACAGATAGTGCAGTAGGAAGATTTTATTTTTGTAACGCAGGGTGAATAGAGTATATTTCTACAGTTTTGTCACAGCACGAAACTAAAATCTGGAAGTTAAGATTTTTAAATTTTTAAAGTTGTGACATATTTTCTGTATTTTTATTGCTTTACATGCAGAATACAGTGTTTTGAAGAATAATATTTTATTTTTCAGAATGTTGGGATTGATAAAGGGGATATTCCAGACCTCACAAAGGTAATTATCATCTAAGTACTCCTGCTTAAGAAAAGCAGGGAGTTTTCTCTCTCTCTTTCTTTCTTAAAGCAACGTAGTGTCCAGTCGTATGTACCAACAGGACTGTACAATTTAAACTCTTACTGTTACATAAACCTCAGGTTTGCTCTTTCAGCCCTGTTTTACAGTGTTCTATAAGACTATCATAGTCACGTATTAGGCCACGTGACCTGTGTAGTTTTAGGCACCTCTTCAGTGATTTTCCCATATTTCACTTCACCCTAGTCATATATTGTTTACTTTGTTTTGGTATTTTGTTATTTATAGAAAACTTTTGAGTTAGATATTCTAGTCCTTTTCATTAAAATATATACAAACAAACATACATTACACAACAGTGTGTAATTATAGGTTCATAACCATTGAGTTACAGTAAAATATGTTGTGTTTGCTTACAGTTTTGTATACTAGAGCAGGGCGCTCCTTTCGGAGCTCCTAGGGGGCTTTGGTCAAGTTTGTAAAACGCAACCAATCTTGTGTAAGAACATAAACTAAACCAGCCAAATTGATGGTTTAAACAATTGACCAACCCCCCTTCTAGGGGGTTGGTTGCGTTTTGAAATCTTACGTAACACGCTAAACTTCGGGAGTCAAGTTTTTAAAACGCAACCAACCCCCCCTTCGGAAGGGTTAGTTTAGTGTCTCATTCAAGTGTTTTAACCCTTGAATAAGAAACTAAACTACCCCCCGAATGGTGGTTAAAATACTTGACCAACCCTCCTTCGGGGGTTTGGTCAAGTGTTTCGGGGGGTTAGTTTATGTCTCATTCAAGTGTTTTAACTCTTGAGTAAGGAACTATACTAAGCCCCCCAAATGGTGTATAAGACAACTGACCAACCCCCCTTCGAGGGGGTGGTCATTTGTTTAATACGTAACCAACCCTCCTTCGGTTGGTTGCGTTTTAAAATCTTT